TATCTTCCTCAGTCTCTGTCAGCTATCTAAAGCTTTATTTATATTTTGCTCCTAGCATGTGTCATGTCAGCATTGCCGTGATGATAAACTGAGAGATGTGGGACTTTGAGATGATGAGGTGTTGTGTGTACTTGTGTAATGTGCCAACTCTTATTATTGAAGCTTATGACACCACTTTAAATATCTTGAAGTAAAATGGCTATAAGTTCTTTTATAAGTAAAATATTAGTAAAGTGAAGAACAATGACTTTTATACGAACGTTCACTCTTGGTAGATCCCAAACTGCTGGGTTAAGCCAGTGATTGTACGGTCTTCCCAGTCTTGTCAGTCAGTCTCACGATTGACACTGAACTTTGCCATGGTGTGAACTTGGATGCTGGGTCATCAATAGTATCTTGCTGGTTAATAATGTGACATGTTATAGATTTGTATTCAATATTATGATATAACCCCCCAGCCTCAAAAAGTGGAATATGCAGTTCTTAACTTGAGACTTCAACACTATAGATCATATTTAGTGAGCATAATACACAGATTAATCAATACTGTTAAGTATTGCTGAATTGGATTGTTTCAAATGATTGGTGACAATATAATTTATAGAGCGCTCATGATTCCCTGTATCTCTGAAATTTATCACTCGAATGTGCTAAATATGGTCTAAAACTCTATGACATAGAAGAAACACTAATCACAGATTTTTGTCAGTTTCTGACACAGCGTCAGAAACTGGCAAAGGCAGGGATAAACACGTGTTTGCTTCTAATATACAGAGTTACAGTTTTCACCATCTTCTGATGCACTCTTTATCAACAAACTCAAGAATAAAATAGTCATCTCTCGTAAAGTCTTCTTCCTCTAACATTTGTGTACTTGACCTTATTTTCCCTGATTGGATTTTATCCGGTATCACACTTACACATCAGTACATACAAATCTTGTACACACACATCAGTGACCAACACAGGTGGTGGTGGCTGGATGATTGGATGACATGCACATAACGTCCCACCCATAAAGAAATGAAACATCTAGTACCCCTAACTACACGTGAAAATTATTTTTCTAGCCTATGAATATCAATATCACAAGCCATTTGATAATTATGCCAGCCGCACATGATAGCCTATTATAAACATTACCTCTATTCCTAAGTCGTGCAGGCGGGCAGGCGCGCACACGCACATATGAAAAATACACACACACGCACATAAGGTGATGAAACTAGGGGTAGGAAATAGGAGGCCAGACACTGAATACCGAATGGGAGAGGAAGTTCTTCACGAAACAGACAGAGAGAAAGATCACGTGTTTATTTTCGTGATATACACACAGAGAGAAAGATCTAGGAGTTGATATCACGCCAAACCTGTTTCCCGAAGCCCACATCAAAAGAATAACATCGGCGGCGTATGTGAGGCTGGCTAACATCAGAACTGCCTTCGGAAACCTGTGTAAGGAATCCTTCAGAACCTTGTATGCATAAGAACATAAGAATAAAGGTAACTGCAGAGGGCCTATTGGCCCATACGAGGCAGCTCCTATTTATAACCAGCCAATCCCACTCATATACGTGTCCACCCCACGTTTGAAACAATCGACGGACCCCACCTCCACCACGTTACGCGGTAATTGGTTCCACAAATCAGTAACCCTGTTACCGAACCAGTATTTACCCAGGTCTTTCCTAAATCTAAAATTATTCAATTTATACCCATTGTTTCGTGTTCTGTAACATCGGCACATGTGTGTACCGATGTTACAGAACCATATATGTAAGACCAATCCTGGAGTATGCGGCTCCAGCATGGAGTCCGTACCTTGTCAAGCACAAGACAAAGCTGGAAAAGTTCAGAGGTATGCCACTAGGCTAGTCCCAGAACTAAGAGGAATGAGTCATGAGGAATGGCTACGTGAACTGCACCTCACGTCGCTGTAAGACAGAAGAGCTCGGGAAGACATGATCACCATATACAAAATTCTCAGGGGAATTGACAGGGTGGACAAGGATGGATTATTTAACACGGGTGGTACACGCACAAGGGGGGACAGGCGGAAGCTGAGTACCCAAATGAGCCACAGAGACATTAGAAATAACTTTTTCAGTGTCAGAGTAGTTAATGAATGGAATGCACCAGGAAGTGATGTGGTGGAGGCAGACTCCATACACAGTTTCAAATGTAGATATGATAGAATTCGAGAAGCTCGTGAATCTGTAACACCGGTAGATTGACGGTTGAGAGGCGGGGACCAAAGAGCCAAAGCTCAACCCCTGCAGGCACAACTAGATGAGTACAACTCGGTGAGTACACACACACACACCTATCCATCCTCTAATGTTCCTGAGGTTTCAGTGGAAGCCTCTGAAAATCCTCAGGCACAGGAACCCCAGAGGATTCAGTTGAATACAAGGTTGCAATACTTTTGTCCATGTCGTGGTGAAGTGGTTATCTTGAGATGATTTCGGGGCTTTAGTATCCCCGCGGCCCGGTCCTCGACCAGGTCTCCACCCCCAGGAAGCAGCCCGTGACAGCTGACTAACTCCCAGGTACCTATTTACTGCTAGGTAACAGGGGCATTCAGGGTGAAAGAAACTTTGCCCATTTGTTTCTGCCTCGTGCGGGAATTGAACCCGCGCCACAGAATCACGAGTCCTGCGCGCTATTGTACATTGTACCAGTACATTGGTTCGAATCCTCGTGGCTCCTGATTTTCTCACAATCTTTGTCATGTGCAGACGATGAATCACAATAACGTGGCTGAAGATATAATATCCAGAACCCACACATCTTTGAAACTACTGATGGTGTTGGCATCCACCGCCGTCTCATTTAAATTGTACGTTAAATCGTTAATCACGTTAATGTGATTTCTTAGTGCGCAAAGGTTATATGGAAGGAGGAACACCACGCGCGTAGCTCTCATACTGTAAGTTGATCAGACCACATACTAGAAAGTGAAGGGACGACGACGTTTCGGTCCGTCCTGGACCATTCTCAAGTCGATTGTGTACTCAACAGTACTTCTCGTCTCATACTCTAACTTCACTTTAGTAATTACACTTATGTAATTTTATTGACAATCGACTTGAGAATGGTCCAGGACGGACCAAAACGTCGTCGTCCCTTCAATTTCTAGTGTGTGGTCTGGTCAACATACTTCAGCCACGTTGTTGTGACTCATCGCCTGCATATGTAATTTTACACACAAACACCTATATATGAATGTGACTATATGTCGGTGTGTGTGTTAGAAAGAAATATATATAGTAGATATGATAGAATAGATATAATTCGTGAGTCTACATTAGACAAGCAACAATTAGAAAGGTGGGGTCCAGAGGTAACAGATACCTGCTTGATGGGGTTTCTGGGAGTTCTTGAAATTGAAATTGAAATAAGTTTATTGAGGTAAAATACACACAAAGGGATGAGGTAGCTCAAGCTATTCTCACCCCGTTCAGTACAACGTGTTAATACATACAAGAGTTCTTCTACTCCCCAAGCCCGGCCCGAGGCCAGGCTTGACTTGTGAGAGCTTGGTCCAACTTGCAGGAGATGGATCCTGAACGTCCTATAGGCACAAATAGTAATTACACACACACACAGGTAATTACACACATTATACACACACAATAGTAATTATACACACAGGATCTTTCAGGCACAAGTAGTAATTATACACACAGGATCCTTCAGGCACAAGTAGTAATTATACACACACACAGGATCCTATGCCTGTAGGAGATAGATCCTGCAGGCACAAATAACAATTACACATACCACACACAGGTGGAGCGGACAGCGCTCGGGAGTCATAGGCCAAAGGGCCCGGTTCGATTCCCGGATGAAGCAGAAACAAATAGGCAGTTTTTATTCTCACCCGAAGTTTCTGTTCACCTAGCAGTAAATAGGTGCCTGGAAGTTGAACTGAACAGCTGCATCCCGGGGATGTGTTCGAGAGAGAAAAAAGTGTAATAAACAATTTATTCGGGAGTCAGTACACTAGACAGTCGACGGTAAGAAAGATAATGCCCAAGAGCAAACAGCTTGATCCTGCAAGAACAAATAGTAAATATACAATCCCTCCCAAAACACACACAAATGCATGGGGTTCTGAGTGATCGAATATTGGACACTGTTCAAGACAAGTGATCCGTTAAACAGAATTTGAACTTTGATACCTGCAACCCAGCCTAGAACTCGTGAAAATAGTGTGAAATGTGGAATTTGGAGATTTAAAGGGATTCGTGGTGGGATGTATGGTGAAATTTAGGCTGACTAATTTGTCAATTTAGTTAGCATAGGTTCCTTGGTGGATCTCAACGTTACTCAAAGACCTCAAAGATCCCAAGTTACTCTTGGTTACTCTTGGCAAGTTACTGGTTACTCCAAGTTACTCTTGGCAAAGTAAATCTCAAGTTACTCAAAGATCCCATCAAAGATCTCAAAGTTTGTTTTGTGTCACATGGGGGTAATTACAAGTGACCACACATTCGTGGGTCGTGGCTTATGATCTTACACGAATGATACAGTTTGCTTCAGGGGTGACTGAATATGCTGCTAACATCTGTACACTAGTAGCAAGTACTTGCCAGCAGCCAAAATGATTCATTTCGAACACTTCATTTTACCATTTCTCAGCTGCTGTCTCCCCCTGTGGTGATATTAGTATGGTTGCTCCACGCCAGACAAGTCCCTTTATACTACTTTCTTAACTCATTCTCAACAACTTGTGTCCACCTCTTTTGGTTACAATGTGTGTACACAGTAATATATATATATATATATATATATATACACTTGTGCTTCAGTGGTCTGACACCATCTTCCGCCATCTTGCCATCTCCACCACGTGTTTCACAACTTTTCCCACCACGGACACCAGCTGCTGCACGGTATTTCACTGCTGCCACCAATGATCTATGTAGTAACCTTTTAGTTTGTGCGTGTGTGTGCGTGTGTCGGCTTCTTGGGGCTGAGCTCACCTTTCCTTACAGTCGGAGGAACGCAGCCGCCGCTTCCTACAACCGTCACACCGCAGTCGTTCCGAGGGGCCCCTAGGCAGAGACCTAGATGATGATAGTTTTCTTGTATCAGAGTACAAGACCCAATTCGCCTGGGTCAGGAGGACTCCCTCCGCCAGGGGCCCTGAGGCCGCCCCCCTCCTCGAGGTGGAAAAGGTAAAGTTTTGTCAGGATGGCGCAGCCCTGCCCTCCCCGGCTTGACTATAGAGGGGAGTAGAGCAAGGTAGAGCCTGCAAGAGTTGGGCGTGCTGTTAGAGCTCTGCTGGCTCTATCTGCTGGAGGAGTACATCCCTCCCGTGGGCTCCCATCCTCCAGAAGCGGGGCAGCCCGGCAATTCTTAGGGCTGGTTGCCTACACTAGAATTTAGAACTAATTTCCAATTTAGAACTAATCACCATTTATGTATTTTAGCGTGAGATATATTATTTAGCGCCATGTTAATAAACAGTATGTAGTCTTCTTACAGTTTTTACTATTTCAGGTGACAGATATAGACCCAAATGTTCATTAGAGAGTAGCTTACTAGCCTTGCAGTTGTTAAAGATGTAATGAGCACACTTTAGTTACTCAGTTGTTTACATTGTGTGTGAGAGTTTTTATAATATATATATATATATATATATATATATATATATATATATATATATATATATATATATATATATATATTGATTGCAAAGGAAAATATATAAAACAAGAATTTACTTAATGCTTTCGTGTAATTCAACACATCTTGAAAAATGTATAGAAGGGTCCGTCTAATTACCACAAGCTACACAAGCTTCACAAAGCTTCCTGGCAATACATTAGTAATGAATAAATATGATAGGTTAGGCTGACCTAACCTAACCTAACCTAACCGACGCTTGGATCGTCGACTTGATTTGGCATCACCAGCTCTTTATTTTCGTCTAATTTCTTTATAAAAAGGTTCTTTTTCAGATTAAAATTATGTTTTTTCGTGTTGTACATTCAGTACCAACATTATAATGAGTAAATATATCATTTATTCATTACTAACATATTGCCAGGAAGCTTTGTGAAACTTGTCAATCAATCCTTGTAAATATTTATTGTATGTATGTACCTTACCTAAATAAAATTGTATTGTATTGTATTGTATTGTATTGTGTAGCTTGTGGTAATTAGACGGACCGGTATACAATGCAATACAGTTAGGTCTCGGGAATTGCCACGTATAGGCTAATATAGACCTTCTGCAGTTTATTCTCTTACTTTGTTCATAAACCCCTATTATATAGATCATGTTTTTTAACCTCACAGATAACTTTATCTTTTCAGCCTACATATATCTCTCATTAAAGGTGAAAACATGGGGGGATACATAAGGGATAAATGTGAGACAACATTTATCCCTTATGTATATCTCTCATTGTATACACTTTTGTAAATGTGTTGAATTATTTGAAAGATGTGTAACTTTCTGGGAATGTATAGCACACTTAAGTAACTTATTGTTTCATTTTCTTTCGTGGTCATCTGTTTTCACATACACATGCACACACACACACTCATTGTATATAACATACATGGACACAAATATTGTATACACCAAACCTATTTAGACTTGTAGCTTAAGAAATGCAGATGTATAAAGGACATCAGCATACCAAGGCTTCATCAATGTCACATTACTGGTTTGTTTTTTATGTTTTCTTACATCATAGATTTTTTACAATTTAATATCTATGATTGGTATAAATATATACAATGGAATGCTACAAGACTGTCGGATGTAGGCCTCCATAATTTATAATTATTACAGGAACCTTAACGTTTACCAAGCACAAAGTAAAGTGCATAAATTATCTTATTTACATAAAATTTAAGGGAAATATGTAACATGGCCAAAGCCACTCTATATTTATTATTCAAATACATGTAAAGCATTACAGTGCATGAATTACGATTACAGAATTGCAATGAGCAGGGCTAAGTGGAAGTAGTTTATTAACAAGAAATGAATATAAATATTTTAGTTTTGTGGTAAATTCATGTGATGTACTCCCCCCCCCCCCAACCCCTCCTCTGTGAAGCTAGCGACTACACATCTTGCAAGTATGGTGGTAAGAGTTTTTCTGTACTGCTAGGGAGTATGGAAGATTTTGGGAAAGACAGGGGGATGCAGCGAATATTTTTGGTCCACATTTTTAGTATTCTTTACAGTAAGCTGTTCTTCCATGTTCTCCGGGGGAAATGCCTCCCCTTTCTTTGTAAGTCGGGCAATGTTTAAAGGATACAGTATACAAAAATGACCAATCCAATAAATAAATTCATACAATACACTATCAATTTTAATAGACAACATATGATTACATCTCTGTATTTTAGCTTACATCTTTGTTTTTATTTTGACATTTATGTACATACAATATTTTATTGAATAGCTTTTACTTACATTAGTTTGATTATTCTCATGTTTTATTTACTATATATAGTAAATAAATATATAGTAAATAATATAGTAAAATAAATATTTGCTTAGATAAGTGACTTGAATTTGCATTCTGATTATTCCCAGACACCTTGATTTTAATTGTTTAAATAAGTTTAGGGTTAGTCATGTAGATTATATTTAGGTTCTAACGTTTTCAATAAATTACTTGCATTTTATTCAGTTTAATATATCAATATATATTTTGCCTGATAAGTTCAGTTCTTAGCATTCAGTTTTATGCTATAGTTCATATTTTGGCATTCCAGTGCTTACATTTATACCATATTATCAAGAGTTTGTCATAGAGTATTCAGTTAAGGTGATGTACATTCTGACTCTGAAATTAATATAATATATATATATATATCTATATATATATATATATATATATATATATATATATATATATATTATTAGATAATACAGTATCTAATTGTAGTGACATCCCGGACAGCCATGGCTCCATGCCCCTTGGCGTGATAAGTACAGTACTGCTAGGTAACACTGACTGTACAAAAGAATTGGAAGTCTTCTGACCCTTAACCCAATTTTAATAGCTCTCGATTGACAGTCAAAAGCTGTTGGGAATTGGGTTAATACATATCATTTCTCATTTAAGATCAATCATGTTGTAGGATCAGTCATATTTTCACACCTTATATTTGGTATTGGCTTTTTGGTAGTTGGAATTATATCCCACTTGGTGGCTTGAATGGAGGGGCAAGTAGTTTTCACAGCAAATATTATGCTTTATGCTTTAGAAGTGATGCTTCTGTAGCTTTTTAGGTTGTACAGTATTTGTATTTGTAAATTTAATTAATTGTTTATACAAAAGCCACCGAGAAAAAAATGAAAAGATAAGCTAATTACTAATGTCAGATGGAACAATTACCTGTGACCAGTTCTGAGTTACCTCTATTTTCATAATGCGGCCTTAGGCCTTCTACATAAAATACAAGCATGTATTTATGATACCGTTTCTTTCACAGCCGCCGCAGTCAACCAAGAATCAGGTGAACGCCAACGGTGTAGCCGGAGGAGCGTCCGGAGGCGCAGGAGGAGGTGCCGTACCCGCCAGTGACCCGCAGCCTGCCGCCGAGCACCAGCTGCCACGTACGCCGCGTAAGTCCAAGTCGATGGGTCGCATTCACGGTGGAGGATCTGGGCCGGAGGTAGGAGAAGGGGCAGCTGGTGGTCCTGAGGCAGCCGGCAGCACTCAGCAGCAGCAGCAGCAGGGTGGTGGCGGCAACCAGGAGGGAAAGCACGATCAGGCACCAACACGCACGGACGCTGCGGGAACAACTCCGGCCTGGCACCCGGGGCACCGCCGCACACCTTCTGACGGAGTAGCATGGCGACACTCCAAAGGTACACATGGGCACATGCACACACAAAACATCTTTTTTGCATACATGAACACTGGCTGTTGTGGAGAGGGGGGGAGGGGGTCAAAAAGACAGCTAGACTCCCTGGATCAACTTGCTCAATGTCTTAATAGCAACTTTAAACTTCCTTCATAGGATTACCAGTAGCTAAAGAGAAAATTAGTTTAAATTATTATTTATAAGATAAAAATTTTACAATTACTACCTTTATGAAGTACAAACAAATTTTGTGTATATAGGCTATAGATTCTGCATACAGTATTATAAGACAGTTTACAATTAAATATGTTTTCACAAATATAAAGTAGAAAATGCATAATGTATGTTCGACTATACATCGTGCTGTATGATAGAGCATTAATCTCATGATAGAGCATTATGCTCATTATAGGGCATTATGCTTATGACAGAGCTAGAGCATTTTGCTCATGATAAAGCTATGTTTTTGTCCCATCCATATAACACTACAGTATCATAGTCGATATCATAGTCCCTTTTCAGTGTTCTTTAGCCAACACCATCGTAGGGTACAAAAGTGAGAGAGAGAGAGAGAGAGAGAGAGAGAGAGAGAGAGAGACCTTAGAGGTGGCCCTCTGCCTCAGTCTTTTCACGATAATACTGAAGAGATCACTCCTTTATATTTGTCATCACATACACTCTTTGGTACTTATGTGGTTCTGAATACACACAATAAAGCGCTGACAGCAATGCTGATAAACGCCTTGTTTAGAGTAGACTTATATCGTTTCTCTTGTTTTTAATTTCTCAATTCCTAGTTCTGAAAACTCGTACAACCTTATTTGCAAATATGGTTTACTCTCAACTTTGTGTTTATGTCAGTTGCTTCAAGGTCTGTTTCAATGTTTAATTCTGTCAGAGTATTGCCATTTGTTTATTTAAAACTCCATTTGCCCCTCTTTCATTCTTTGGTCAAATTTATCAAATGTTTTTGTAGTGTGTGTATAATATATCTGCAGCCAAAATGCAGACATTCTGTACACAAACTTTGCAAAAGTATATGAAAAATGTGATCTAAAAGAATAACAGGTAAAATAGAAATGTGGATTTTCAATTACAGAATATAACTTGCAGATTGCAGACAGTGGCAGTAAATCAAGCAAAATCTAGCTTGAGTATGGTACAAAGCTCTCATTCTTAAAGAAGTCGTAAAATTAACGCACCCTACAGTTTTGGGTCATCCTTAGCAGATAACACCCGAATAAATATAAAAATTACCCATGTGGAATGCAAAATTTATAAGATATCAATAAAGTCTTCCACTGGGTAGCTGAAAACAATATATATTGTTCACTGGTGACAAATTTCAATACTACATAGGTATAGATAAAATGAAAACCTTAAAAGGAGGACAGGATAGAAGAGTTAGATTTTCTCATCAAAGATGAGAAATGATAATGTCAGAAGAAATATTATTAAAGGTGGGTAAGACCGAGTTACTAAACGACGGATTTCCTGGAACTCTGTCCGTTATGAGGACCGTGACAGGGAAAGTGTTATTTTCCAGGCAGGACCAAATTGGGGGCATGTGGTTGATTTAAAAACAATTTTGGGCGATCTGACGTTCATCAGTCCTTTTTTTTTATTTTCAAAACTATTATTTACAAATACAAAATGTTGCGCAGTACTGTATTTCCATTTTGATCTAGGAATAAATTATGCACCAAATAATTATTTTAAACCAGTGTCAGTTGTGAACAATCTTTGAGTTTCTTACAAGGGTGGGGAGATTATGATGTAAACCAGGACCAAGTTAGTTAATGAGTTTTGTAGCAAGAGAGAGGCCTGTGTAATGGAAACTCTTCGTAAAAAATGGCTTGTTCCATTGAAGGATTTTGATCATCAAATTCAATACACCTATCCCCTCTAGTGCCACTGTGGAGAGGCTCTTATCTTTGGAAAAAGATGCCTGAAAGTCGAAGAGATCAAAGTTCAGTGATAGCTATTTTGAAATGCTAGTCTTCTTGAAGGGAAACTGAATTATTCAACGTATTATATTTTTTCCTGGTTTCGTTATATTAATTTTGTATTATTGTATTACTGTATTTGAAATTTGATTTTGATTTACTAAAGTAAATCAAAATCACATAATGTAAAGATGGGGACCGAGTTGGTCAAATTTCCCTTCTACCGAAAGAACTGTAACCGGGACCATCAGTCCAGTAGGAGGCATTAGTTAGGCGCTGTTAACTGGGTGGCTTCTGTGCCACCTACAATGCTTTTTTTGCATATAGGTCTTTCTTCATAATGTTCACAACTGTGATCGTACCAAAAGCAGATCCCTTCACTGGTTAGTTGCTCCCTACTTGGGGCTCGTTTCTTATTTGAGGTTTGGGTTAGTTTTTCTGTGAGAATCTTTATCTTATCTTTGGCTATGTGCGTGTCAGTGTAATACAGTATCAAATTGTACTGACATGAAAAGAGCTTAATTTTGTGGTGTCCCGTCAGTCTCATAGAGTATCCTTTACCATATAAGTGTTTTGAAACTAACAATGGTATTGGCACACACTATCTACTCTTGTAATTTATTACATCTATTAATTTATTTGCAAAGCATTTTATTGTATGTTTTTGTGCCAACCATGTTTTTGTAATTTGTACCCATGTCTTCTTGTTCTCGATGTTGTGGGTTTCAAGCATTCCTCCTCAGTTTTATCAATTTCCATCATTATTTTGTTGGATTGATCGTATTTGCCCCTTTTTAGGTCTTTCAATTTTGGTACTGTATGTGTATGTGTACATGTAATTACCTTAGTGTTGTTATACTTGTGTAACAACATACACACATACATACACAAAACACACATAAACATAACGCACACCCAGAAAATACACACACACTCAGGGCCATCTTAACAGCATTGTAGACCCCTGGATAAAGCAATGCACTGGTGCCCCGGTAACTGCCCAGTGTACCCATATGTTAAGATGGTGCTGCACACTCACTCACTCACTCACTCACTCACTCACTCACACACACTCTCCCTCCCTCCCTCCCTCCCTCTTTTCCCCACTCCCTCCCTCCCTCTCCCCCTCCCCTTCTATCTCACTCACATACCAAATTTAGAAGACAATAAATGAGGTGATATGATAACCACTTACAAAATTATGATGTGTGTAATTACCTAATTGTAATTACTGTATTGAAGTTACAGGATAAGAACTAAGTTTGTGGTGTCCTATCTTCCTGACATTCTTTGTCATATAAGGTTTAGAGGCTGCCAATGTGGATTGCATACACAGCTCTTGTAAGTTATTCCTTGTAGCTACCACTTTGTTTCCAAATGAAAACCATCGTATATTTTTATTGCACTTATGTTTCATTAATTTGTCCCTGTATCCTCTTGTTCAAGGTGCTGCAGGTTGAAAAAAGCAAAACAAAAAAAGTTCACTTATCAATGAAAGTCTGACTTTCCCACCACAATCTTACACATGGTGATCATCTTGCCCTCATGGCCATTATGTTCCAGTGTTGGCATGATTACTTCTTTTCTCATCAAATAGATCACATTTCTTAGATCCAGGATATATTTTGCAGCATGTCATTAAACATATTATAACTTTGCAATGTTATATGTTTTTTGAAATACAGTATAGACATCAAATCACTGTTGCATATATATTTTTTTTAACTTGGTCCACACAAGAACATCCTAATAAGCATGTTCTGATTCATGTGCAGTATTGGAAAACTATTTTGAATTTGGCTAGCATTGCATTGGTTCCTCTGTACAGTAATGTGGTGCTTAGGAGACAGCTTACTCTGTCATCACCACTATATCATTCTTGTACACACTGTACTAAGTTATGTGGTGTGTTTGCACATGCTGTGTAAGCCCAACATGGTCTGGTCCTAGTTTGTTCAAACTATCATGTGCCATTTGTCCACATTAAATTCTATCGGCCATTTACACCTCCCGGTACCAATTTTGTCTGATTGGGCTGAACGGCATGGCAGTCATTTGGCATGCTTATCCTGTCCAGTATCTTAACATCATCTGGAAAACTATACATATAACTTCCTGCAGGGAAGGGATGGGTCAACTCATCCTGCAATGGATGTAAACCTGCAGGGAGATCATTAATATACAGTACTGTATACAAGGAACATCATTGGCACTAGTACAGAGCCCTGCAGTGCTCGTCTAGTCACAGCCCTCCAGTCAGATTTTGTCACTGCTTAATCACTGCTTGCATCTTCCAGCTAGAACATTTTCCATCCAAACCAGTAGCCTTGCTGCAACTTATCCTATGTGTGCCAATTTCTAGAATAACCACTTTTGTGGGATTTGTTGAAGCCTTGTACGAATGTGCTTTTAAAATTTGTATTTGGTGCCTCACACACGTCCCCTCTCTATTGCCAGTAAACTGTTTTTCACTCTAAATAACAGAATTTTATGCTTTACGTGCAGTTTATTCTATAAACATATAGAATAGGTTGGAGTTCATCTTACATTTGTTTACGGGTCCATCTAATTACCCAAAGCTACTTAAAGCTTCCTATCAAGCTACCCAAAGCTTCCTAACATTACGTTAGTGATGAAGAAATATGATATATTTACTTATTAAAATGTTGGTGCTGAAAGTAGAACATGTAAAAACATATTTTTACTCTGAAAAAGTATCATTTCATAATGAAATTAGACGAAAATAAGCTGCTGGTGATGCCAAAGCAAGTCAAAAGTTCAAGCGACAATGTTGTGGAGCGACTTATCCAACACACAGTGTTTCTTGGAGAGTGTTTGCTGGCATATCAGCCTCCTGTACCTACATAACCTAACCTACCTACCCAAACCTAACCTAACAAAACCAAACTAAACCTAACCTATCCAAACCTAACTTAATATAACCTGTAGGCAACAATATATCTTGGATAAATCGCTCCACAACATTGTCGCTTGGACTATCAACTTCCTATGGCCTTTTGTGCCACTCAATTTTGTCTAATTTCATTATAAACTTATT